CTGAGAAGCCGGAAGCCTTTTTCTTGTGAGTCCAGGTCCCAAATCAGAGTAGTTGCTGTCGGTGTCAGGGTCACGTGACATGGTGCTGTACATCTGGCTGTTGCTTTCTGCGACGTCTGGAACAACATGTGACTTTGTCAGTGATGATGAAATATATCACATGCACAGAACAAAACGTTTAGCACCACTCATGCGTAATACAGAGAAATGATCTACAGAATAATTTTTATCCATTACGACCGCCGAATATGAAAATAGTTCGTAGTAATTGAAAGGTCAGACTCATGTTGTACAAACAATTTAAAAACTCAATACATGATATGACACGTTATGAAATATTCCCTTTTGAATAAGGGGTGTTGCTTATTTATATGTCACAGAAACCCGTTTCAATTATAATTGCCTTTAAAACTTCACATATTCAAACGACCTATTTGTTTCAGTATATGTCCAAATATGTCCGAAACTCTATCCCCTGTTTAATGTATCGCCTCTTATCATAGACAATGGCAAAATGCCATGGTGGAATGCGAATTTGGATAGAAAGAGCCTCGTGTATTACGAAAAGAATCACGTACCCTTCTTATATTTCCTGACCAGTAACACAGAGATAAAACTCGCGACGACGATGACGATGACGACGATGATGCTGGCAACTGCAGCGGTGAGGGGTAAAATACTTCCTTCTGAAACACAGTTCACAGAGGCAACTACATTTGAATGTTCGTATCAGTCAATGTTGCCATGACATTCAGTTTTCTGTACATCAAGTGTACAGCTAAGTATGAAATGCACAATGCCATTTTAGAAAGTGGTCAAATGTAACTCATGTTAAATTTGGGATTACACTTTCTCAGTAAAGTACAGATTGTAGTACTATATTTTATTTTTGGGGGTATTTTTTTAATTTTTTATTTTTTTTTGGGTTGGTTGAGTCCCATCCGGATTCGAACCCACGCCCTCAGAAGTCAGACACCTAATCGCCAGCACACAAAGTCGGTGGCCTAGACTGAGTGGCTGTGGCTGAGCGGTCTAGGCGTCTGACATTGTGTGCTGGCGATTAGGTGCTCGACTCTGAGGGTGTGGGTTCGAATCAGGGATGGGACTCCAACCACCACCACACCACCCCCACCCCCATCTCCGTCCCCACCCCCACCCCTCAAAAGAGTACTAGAATCTGTACTTTACTGAGAAAGTGTAATCCCAAATTTTAACATGTGTTTCAGCTGGCTAGTTCTGAATCTGTGTTTGAACACCTTCCAGTTGAAATCTGTTTCTCCGTATGATATTCGTAACATATACTTCAAAGTTAACCATATGTATTATGAAAAGCTGGTACTGTCAATAATCATTGAATGACGTCATTGACCTTAACGAAATATGAAGCTTGGAGTTGTTTGTGAAATATTTCAAAGTGTACTTGAGAATTAATCTACCTTCTATCTACATTCAGCTATGACACTGTCCAATATAGACGTAAACATAGCTACTGTTAACCTGGTCCTCGGATATTTAACTCCGAGGAGATATTTATCTCTTGAATACACCCGTTATAAAAATAATCCCCCAACAGTCTGGGTGACCCATGAAGATCAGATCCGAATTGGTCTTCAACAACCCATGCTTGCAGTAAGAGTCTTGTCCAGACTCGATTATTTACAGACCGCCCCCACATAGCTGGAATATTGCTGAGTGCGGCGTTGATAAACAAACTGACCAAGCTACCAACGATTTGGATTTACGTTGGGTACTTGGAATGGCTACTTTATCAAACTTGCAGGAGAAGATATGCATATTAGCATTTATCAAGGACTGAAGAAGGGTTGGTGATTTAAGACTTAACGTCACATCGGCAATATTTCACTCATATCGTTTTTAACTGTAGACTATGCGTTAAAGGTCGTAAGTCGACTGAAATATATTAGGTCTTTAATTATCTTACAAGCCATACGTTCCAGCCATATGTCATCACTTTAAACCCAAACCATCGTGGGTGGTAGTTATCTTAAAACATTTCATATTAGAGGGTTTTCAATTGGTAAAATGTTGCAAGTGTTGGTTGAATCAGTTTAAACATTCCGAGTAACCATCTCTTATCAACCTGATACACATCATAGGTATTCAATTGCACCCTATTCTGTTGCGTACAGACATATCACCATAATGAATTATGTTTGAAAAAGATAAAATACTACAACGAGGGATTACGTCACATATCACAATCATTTTCACACATGATATCGTCATGAGTAATGTAATGGCATACCTCCAGAGGTTGATGGTGAATCAACAGTTGCAATAGTGGTTACAGCATCCCCTGCAGACAGACAATCACTGAGTTTTATGTTATGAAATCACCGAGTTATATGTATGAAATAACTGAGTTATATCTTATGAAATCACTTAGTTATATGTTATGAAATCACTAAGTTATATGTTATGAAATCACCGAGTTATATGTATGAGATAACTGAGTTATGTTATGAAATCACTGAGTTATATGTATGAAATCACTGAGTTAATGCAAGGAAATAATTGAGTTAAATGTTATGAAATCACTGTTCTATGTTATGAAATCACTCAGTTCTATGTTATGAAATCACTCAGTTCTATGTTATGAAATGTGTCAGTTTAATCTTCATTAAATATACCGCTCTTATACACGAAAGGTTTACCCCGTATATGTTCCACCACATCAAGCGTGACGTTATTGCTGAACACGTTTCCAGTTTGACATCTCCACACAGAGCCCCGGTCGAGTGTAGAGTTGATCCTGAGACTGACGTTGTGCTGTAGGAGGGAGGAGCTGACAGTGACACGTCCTGCCACAGACTAGTACTGGGGGGAGGTGGTGTCGTGCACCAACATGGACGTCGGTATGATGGTCTTGAATATCTTCACTGAGTTTCTGGACCAGACAGTTTCTGTGATGTCATTTGTACTTTCGCAAGTCAGTGTTAGGATCTGTCCATCTTTGACTGGATTTCTTGTTGCTTTTACTGAGATGGACGCTGAAAGTGCGTGTCAAAGGCTACACTTCAGAGATAAACATACTGTGCTGGAAAATCAGAGATATATAACGAAATTATAATAGCTCTAAAATTGATTGAAAACCGAACGCGTTATTAAGAATTTTGTTTAAAATGCATACCGTGTTAGAAAATCAGGGGCATATAACGTGATTATATGCCTCTGAATGACTTAAATTAACCAATCACAATCCAGCATTTACTCAAGTAATGGTAGAATACATAATATAAGTCCTCTTAATAAGGTGGGAAACCATGTGTTGTAAGTGTAAACTATTCAGCTTGAGCTATAACTGTAATCAATCATCATAAAATATAAATAATGGCCAAGAGATATACCCAGAAATTCCTAACCACACTCATTAAAATATCTTCTAAAATCCGAGGCGATTGTTCGATTGTACTGTTAGTACACAAAACAGTAGGTTAATAACGTGCACGCACATGTATTCCAAGATATAACATAGTTGTGTTTAGTCAGCTGGTAATATCAGATCAAATTTAATTCCTCATGATAGCTCCATGGGTGCATCACTTTTGTTGTAATTGTAGTTATTAAGATTCAGTCGAAGTTTATAACATTGTGCCTCAACAATAACTAGTTTCTGTCTTATGTAAGCAGTTGTATAGATTTTATTATACTTGTTTGCTTTCGGAGTCAAGTGTAATCTTCGATCTGCCAGAACAGCTATTGGCCGACTCGGCACAGAGTGGACACTCGTGGACAACTAGGGATCTATTATTTACCGTCGTTGTGAACACTTTACTAGCAAATGTATTGATTTGAAAAGCTGGATAAGGTTAGAATACTAATGATTCATCGTCTAACATTTTATATATTTTTTGCTTTGAATTATTTTGCAAACAGATTTCTGGATTGACTTATTGTTTCCTTTTGGAATTATTGTTTCCACAGGAAAGTCCACTGTGATATTTTCCAAGTGAACTGGCTTGAGTTAAATCTTTGTTGCCAATAGTGATGTTATTGCTGGAAGTGTCGGCCCACGCCACATCTCCAAACAGATTATTCATGATTTTAACAGAGTAGAGAGTAGTTGTTGAGTGGTAGATATGCTTGTTTCAAATCACATTGAATCAACATATAATCAAATGGCGAACAGTCAACACACAAAAGTCATGATAAGATATATCCTAAGTATAAGTTACGTGTACAATAGTAAGTGTGCTTCGGCTGGTAGATTTCGATTTTGGGACACTTTGGAATGTGGACTGCTGCTATTTCCTCCACTGCCACCACTGCGACGTAGAATAGTAGTACTACTGCTACTAGTACAACCAGTGCTACGGCTGACGACTATGACTACCTCAACAAAGACTACGACTACCTGCCACTACCTCAAAGCAACAAAGTATTACACACGATCATGGCAGGATGTGTATGATGTATGATACGTTAGGAATGGTGCAGGTTAAGTTAATTTTGCACCTCTGAAAATCATTGGAAGTCAAAAACAGGAATTACATTGGAAAGATTTTGGAGTCATCGAGTCTGGAAATATGCTCCACCTGTCTATCATAAAGCATCTTGTAAGCTTTCCTGAAGCAGTGAATGCAATGATCCCAACACCTTTGAGCAAGATTCGTATGAAGCTCTGACTAAAGATGAAATTAAGCATGTTCTAAGGTATCTCAAAAGTTGTGAAAGTAGATGACAAATGTTTACGTGCTGGAATGTATCCGAAATAAGGAGAATTTGTCTGTTGGAGGGTTGTCAACCACACTCTTTAAAGACTTTCTATCCTAAAGTGGAGTAATGATTCATACTATTGGATACTATGTTCCTCGTCCAGAATCCTTTACGATCCCTTATACAGGTGAAATATTGCTGAGTACGGCCTTACGACAAAACGAGTTACATAAGTCGGGAAATGAATCAACAAGAATCTAGGAATTGTATTTATTTGAAGCTGCCATTTCTAAAACATGCATCACGTATTATTTCGCTTGTACCTTCAGAGTTGTCTGTAATCTCCACAGTGACGTTATTGCTGAAACGTTTCCCATTCTTGCACTTCCACACAGAGCCCTGGTCGAGTGTAGAGTTGATCCTGAGTGTCACGTTGTGTTGTTGGAGGGAGGAGTTGACAGTGACACGTCCTGCCACAGCGCGGTATTCTGATAAAGTGGTGTTGGGTTTCTGCATGGAAGTAGAGACGTCGGCATCACTGCTTGTCTTGAATATTTCAACATCGTTTCTGTACCAGCTGACACTTATCAACCCACCGCTCTGTGTGGTTGTACAAGACAGTGTGACCTCGGCTCCATCCACGGCAGCTTGCGGGTAGCTCGTCAGATGTATAGTGGCAGGCGCTGGGATATGTCTCATTGCATCATAAAATGTTATGTACTTCTACATTGATCATTTGGAACTCATTATAGTTCACTCCTATGCTTGACACTGACCTGACGTCCCACAACTCGCACACAAAAGCACCACAGCCAACCACACCATGACAACAAGTGACAAATGGCGAACAGATGGTATCTGTGAAAATACAAAATAGGAAGATAATCATGTGAGGAACATCTTCGATGAACACGGGCATTAACATCTTACACAAGTTAACATCACTATAAATGCTGAAGAAAAATGTATGAGTGGTATTGTGGGTACATTTACTGAGACCAGCAAGAAGTTATTCGTTGGAGAAGATACTGAAGTGACAGAACGTAGAGCAGATCAGCAATAGCGCCGTGTAAGATAAGGACACACAGGACAATTTTTGTTTTGTGGCCCTTGTGTTGTTTTGTTTCGTTTACGTACCGTGTTATGAAATAATCCGCCTATATTTCGAGTTCTCCAGCCAAGCCGAACAGACACAACCTTCACGGAGACGACATAACAGCAAACCCGGAAGTGATACACAGCGACAGGGTGGGTAGTGACATGGAACATTGAGTTGAATGTACTGCTTACAAACCTTTACAAAACTTAACGTTGTTGTTGATGGAAATAGGTCAGGGTGAAAGCTTCAATGTAGTGTTGCAATACAAATGTGTATAGGCGTTTAATGGAATCATCCAGGACGCCAATGTTCCTTGGTGTGTCGGTATCAGTGTCACTGGTGCTTTATGTTTGGTCATCGTTACGACGAATAGATGTGTGTAGATTCGGACAAAAGAAAAAGCTTTAATTGTATGAATTCGGACAAAAGAAAAAGCTTTGATTGTATGAATTTGGACAAAAGAAAATGCTTTGAATGTTTCTGACGTTGATTCCGTCAGCTTATCAGCAAGTGATCAACATATTTTTTGTCAATATTATTAGTACATGTTTATTAAATATTGTGTTCTTTTCATCCGTTGCCAATCTGATGGGAAATCCGATGATAAACACTGTAAACACTGCCCATTCCTGGAACGTTTCGCGAAATGGGAATGGTTTTTTCACAGTTTTGTGTTAGCTGGATACGTATGTCTGATTGATCAATGATTTGTTTTTCATAAAAAGTATACGGTGTATTTGAAAAGTACAGGATACACGTACATGTAACACAGAATGGAATCATCTTTACTCTGCTTCGTTCTGTTCACCCAAGGTTCACCAACTGTGTAACACATGATCTGGATCGAACAAACGTTTCACAGATAATTTCAAAACTCTTATATCATAAAGATACGACAGATTGTTAAAGGAAACTCCGGCTGTTTTACCCGCTATTATAACAACGTTTTCTAAACGAGATTTCTTAACCAGAGATAAGGAGCCGAACCAACATTGGCACAAAAAAGTTTTAAAACAAATTAAAACGGTTTCAACGAAACAATGATAAGAAAGGGATAATACACGTTCAGTAACGTCAATAGTTCCCAACTTGCGCAGGTATGTAGGCTGATTGTGGGGCTGATAGGTAGGCTGATTGTGAGGCTGATAGGTAGGCTGATTGTGGGGCTGATTTCAGGCTGATAGGTAGGCTGATTGTTGGGCTGATAGGTAGGCTGATTGTGAGGCTGATAGGTAGGTTGATTGTGGGGCTGATATGTAGGCTGATAATGAGGCTGATAGGTAGGCTGATTGTGGGGCTGATTGTGAGATTATGAGGCTGATAGGTAGGCTGAGGCATTGGGGCTGATATGTAAGGCTGATTGTGGGGCTGATAGGTAGCCTGATTGTGAGGCTGATAGGTAGGCTGATTGTAGGAGGCTGATTGTGTAGGCTGATTGTGGGGCTGGTAGGTGATTGTAGGGCTGATAGGTAGGCTGATAACGAGGCTGATGGTAGGCTGATTGTAGGCTGATAGGTGTAGGCTGATTGTGAGGCTGATTGTAGGGCTGATAGGTAGGCTGATTGTAGGGCTGATTGTGGTAGGCTGATAGGTAGGCTGATTGTGGGCTGATGATTGTGAGGCTGATTGTGAGGCTGATAGGTGGAGGCTGATATGTGGGGCTGATAGGTAGGCTGATTGTGAGGCTGATAGGTAGGCTGATTGTGAGGCTGATAGGTAGACTGATTGTGAGGCTGATAGGTAGGCTGATTGTGGGGCTGATTTCAGGCTGATAGGTAGGCTGATTGTTGGGCTGATAGGTAGGCTGATTGTGAGGCTGATAGGTAGGCTGATTGTGGGGCTGATAGGTAGGCTGATTGTGAGGCTGATAGGTACGGTGATTGTGGGGCTGATATGTAGGCTGATAACGAGGCTGATAGGTAGGCTGATTGTGGGGCTGATTGTGAGGCTGATAGGTAGGCTGATTGTGGGGCTGATATGTAGGCTGATTGTGGGGCTGATAGGTAGGCTGATTGTGAGGCTGATAGGTAGACTGATTGTGAGGCTAATAGGTAGGCTGATTGTGGGGCTGATAGGTAGGCTGATTGTGGGGCTGATAGGTAGGCTGATAATGAGGCTGATAGGTAGGCTGATTGTGGGGCTGATAGGTAGGCTGATTGTGAGGCTGATTGTGGGGCTGATAGGTAGGCTGATTGCGAGGCTGATTGTGGGGCTGATAGGCAGGCTTATTGTGGGGCTGATTGTGAGGCTGATTGTGGGGCTGATAGGTAGGTTGATTATGGGGCTGATATGTAGGCTGGTTGTGGGACTGATAGGTAGGCTGATTGTGAGGCTAATAGGTAAACTGATTGTGAGGCTAATAGGTAGGCTGATTGTGAGGCTGATTGTGGGGCTGATAGGTAGGTTGATTGTAAGGCTGATTGTGGGGCTGATAGGTAGGCTGATAGGTAGGCTGATTGTGGGGCTGATAGGTAGTCTGATTGTGGGGCTGATAGGTAGGATGATTGTGGGGCTGATAGGTAGGCTGATTGTGGGGCTGATAGGTAGGATGATTGTGGGGCTGATAGGTAGGCTGATTGTGAGGCTGATTGTGGTGCTGATAGGTAGGCTGATTGTGGTGCTGATAGGTAGGCTGATTGTGGGGCTGATAGGTAGGCTGATTGTGAGGCTGATAGGTAGGCTGATTGTGAGGCTGATTGTAGGGCTGATAGATAGGCTGATTGTGGGGCTGATAGGTAGGCTGATTGTAGGGCTGATAGGTAGGCTGATTGTGGGGCTGATAGGTGGCAGGCTTATTGTGGGGCTGATAGGTAGGCCTATTGTAAGGCTGATTGGTAGGCTCATAGGTAGGCTGATAGGTAGGCTCATAGGTAGGCTGATTGTGGGGCTGGTAGGTAGACTGATTGTGAGGCTGATAGGTAGGCTGATTGTGAGGCTGATAGGTAGGCTGATTGTGGGGCTCATAGATAGGCTGATTGTGAGGCTGATTGTGGGGCTGATAGATATACTGATAGGTAGGCTGATAAAGCTTTTAAAAATAATTTCGATAGTAAAACGTTCAAAAGATTTTATGGTAGTTCGGAAGGGCAGAGGGGTTTAGGGATCACAGGCATATAGCTGAAATATTGCTAAGTGCGGCGTTGAATAACAAGGACACAAACAATATCATGAGTTTGTAACGGCACACCTTTCACTATAGTTTTGTCATTTAAATTTGAAAATATACCAACTACTAGACATACCAATACCCCTATTTACATATATTGTTATTGACAGTTTGAGTTATTAACATGAAAAACTGTGCAAATCTGAAACTGCAAGAAATGTCAACACCCCTACTCACAACATATTTGCATTGACAGTTGTGTTTTTAAAAGAAAAAACTGCACAGTGCGTTTAATTATCAAGGCGAGGTATTTTCCTCACGACCATTGTCTTTATCTGAATGGACCTGCGTGGTTTTGATTCAAAGCAGGAAAATGAACATTTTGCTTGCTGGGCCGTAGTACGCCGTAATGTAACAATAAGAAAGTATCACTTCCTATGGTTGGTCACGATTTTAGTCCTCGTGTTGTGGGCTATAAACAAAACGTCAAGACACATCATCAGCTGACTGTATTGAAGACAGAGTATAATGGCCGTACACAACTTTGCTACAAGCAACTGTCTTCAAGAAAAACAAACGCAAAGTACGAATACATCGATATATCCGTCAAAACATATATCATCATTTGACTGTATTGAAGGCAGAGTTTAACGACCGTCAACAACATTACAAAAAATCAAAACAAATTTCTTCAAGGAAAATAATTAATCACTGTATGAGAAGGAAGAAACATGCTCAGGATATGCTCAGTGAATTTGTGAATCTTCTTGAATATGATGTTAATAAAGCGGTAGGTAAGCTTACGGATATTGTGTCAACGTTTGGGAAACCCATTTATCCTGGCCTGCAGTCAACTCAGAAACGGATGCAACCTGCGTGGTTTGATGTGGATTGCCAGAATTTGAAATCGGAAAAATACAGACTGCTACATAAAATGAGACGATATAAGTGCGCCTTTAATACTGACCAATACTTAGCAGCAAAACGAAATTTCAAACAGTGATGTAAACTCAAAAAGACACTTCATGACAGAAAAGTAGCAGACGAAGTAGAAAACGCTGCCAAGAACTGTAACTGAAACGTCAATTCGACTCTTTTTCAAGTAATACAATAAACACAAGCGAATGGCAGATTTATTTCAGGAACTTACTGAACCCCGATGTTACGACAGGAGACAAATCCCCAAGTGCTATAAACCACTTCATAGACCAACACTCATGCGAAGACTGTGATGGCTTAGCTGATAGCGATGCCTTTCTAGAGGATGAAATCAAGGAAGAAGAAATCAAACAGTCAATCCACGGCCTTGTCAACGGTAAATCACCAGGTCAAGATGGTATACCCCCAGAACTGTTCAAAATGACTAGTGATTTTTTCCTCAAATATCTGAAAAAGCTTTTCAATAAAGTACTTGACAGTGGAACTTTCCCAGAAGAATGGAACAATGGAATGGTCATCCCCATCTTCAAATCAGGAGACCCAAAGGATCCAAACAACTATAGGGGTATCTCACTTCTCAACGTTATGGTTAAAATATTTTCTGATATTATCGAAAAAAGGTTAAGACGATGGGTTGAAACAAACGAACTTATTTCAGAGAGTCAAGCTGGATTCCGTCCCGGATATTCTACAGCAGATCACCTATTCACGCTTCAGTCACTATGCTCAAAATATCTTTGTAAACCAAAGGGTAGATTTTATTGTTGTTTTATAGACTTCCGAAAGGCCTTCGATCTTGTGGACAGGAAAAGAATGTTAACTCTACTGCTTCAAAAAGGATGTCATGGAAAAGTCATTACTCTTCTCAAGAACATGTATTCATCGATCAAGGCGTGTGTGAAGGTGCAAGGAAATTCAACTGAAATATTCTCAACATCTGCAGGGGTTCGACAAGGCTGCATTCTCAGCCCAGTGTTATTTATATTATATATAAATGAACTTGTAACAGCCATGTATAGATCATGTACAAGTGGAATATTCGTCAAGATATTGAAGACTTGATGCTCCTACTTTTTGCGGATGACGTTGTGTTATTTTCATTTACTATCATCGGCTTACAGAGACAGCTAAACACACTGGAATCCTACTGCTCAGAATCAGGACTACAACTGAATTTTAATAAATCCAAGATTATAGTTTTTAGAAATGGTGGAAAACTGGCACAGAATGAAAAATGGACTTATAAAGGACTGCCTATCGAAACCGTCACCTATTACAAATACCTTGGACTTATCTTCTCATCACGACTGGTATGGACAAAAGCATGTGACACTCTCGCACAACAAGCTAGTAAGGCATGCCTCGCAATAAATAGATTCATACAGAAAAATAAAGAAGTAACGTTTTCAACTGCACGTTCGATATTCGACACTAAAGTTTTACCAATACTCCTCTATGGAGCAGAAGTGTGGGGATGCAAGTATTCAGCTTCAATTGAAAAAGTTCAGTTAAACTACTTTAAACACCTTCTCAAAGTTCGAAAATTTGCTTCAAACAAGGCAATTCTTGGAGACACTGGAAGTCATTTGATTTATATATCAACACAAGTAAAGGCCATCAAGTACTGGATAAAAGTTCTACGAATGACAACCGATCGCCACGCACACCAGTGTTACCGAATGCTTAAATCACTCGATGATGTAGGAAAAGAAACTGGACCTCTAATATTAGAGAAACATTGTCCAAGATAGATTCTCACATGTATGGATCGCACAGGATGTCGGAGATGTAAATAATTTCTTATCATGTTTAAAACAGCGCCTCAAAGATATATCACACCAAAACTGGCATTATGAGATAAACAGTTCAAGTTTCCTTACCCACTACGCTTCATTCAAGTTTTCACTGGAAAGAGAATCATATATCACGAACATGAGGAACAAACAACTAATAAGAGTCTACTTCAAATTTAGAGCTTCGCTAACAAACTTTAAGATAAACAAGCTAAGAACCAATAAAGATACAACGGCAATCAACCCCATCTGTGAACTTTGTAATCATAACCTTAATGAAGATGAGAACCATGTATTTTTGTTTTGTGATAAGTATAATCAAGCCAGAACTCTATATCTGCACAGAAGCTACAATCAGTCTACAGAGGCCCACTTCACCATTCAGGCAATTTTTATGTCACAAAATAGTAATGTACAGCGTCGAACAGCTATCTATCTCAATGAGATATTCAAAATGAGATCAATATGAAACTCAAATGTTTATGATCAATGTCGTAATCTAAATTGTATATGTCAACTGTATCATAGGCCCAACACAAGAGAGCCGTGGTGAACATCACGATGGGTATTCGGAGAGATGAACGCTACGTCACGTCACCTTCAGATTATCACGTTTAAATAGCAATAGATACATGATTAACAGTTCTGACTAATGCTGGCATTACTCATGCGTACTCCCAGAGATGTCATGCCGCATGTTACCATGGATACCAGAGTCAGATATAATGTTGTAAGTCCCAGCTGAATGGTCCTTGTATTACTCCCTTGTCGAACCCCAAGCTAGGTAACAGGTGTCACATTTATTAGCAATATTTAAATTTGGCCCCAGTTTTATCCTCTTCAATCCGAACACCAGGCAGGGCCACATTAAATACATCTTTTCACGTAATTTGGTATGACTTGGCCAGTGACTCGAACCCTCAATCAGTTGGTTGAAACAACATTGAATGCATCATCTGTGTAAAATGACTGTGTAAGATGACTGTATCATTCTGTATGAAGACATGCGGTGGGGTCACTGCTCTCTTGTGTTCGATTCCGCACATGGGTACAATGTGTGGAGCCCATTTCTGGTGTCCTAGATCGTGATATCTCTGGAATATTGCTAAAAGCGGCGTAAAACTAAACTCAGATCCTCACTCACTCACTGTATGAAGAATCCGGTTTCTCAGTAGAAGCTGGTGGGTTTTCATACTGGCTGTCAGCGGATACTGTGTTGTAGTAGGCCACGGACTCTTCTGTGGTGACAGGCTGAGAAGCCGGAAGCCTCTTACTTGTGAGTCCAGGACCCAACTCAGAGTAATTGTTGTCAGTGTCAGGGTCACGTGACATGGTGCTGTACATCTGACTGTTGCTTTCTGCGACGTCTGGAACAACATGTGACTTTGTCGGTGATGATGAAATATACCCCATGCACAGAAGAAAACGTTTAGAACCACTAATGAGTAATACAGAGGAATGATCTACAGAATATTCTTTATCCATTACGACCGCCGAATGTGAAAATAGTTCGTAGTTATTGAAAGGTCAGAAACATGTTGTACAAACAATTAAAAAAATCAATACATAATATGACACGTAATGAAATAATCCCTTTTTAAGAAGTGTTGCTTATTTATATGTCAGAGAGCAAACCACTTCAATTATAAGTTTCTTTTTAACTTCATATATTCAAACGATCTATTTGTTTCAATATATGTCCAAATATGTCAGAAATTCTATCCCCTGTTTAATGTATTCAGCAAACATTCGGTGTATCACCTCTTATCATACACAATGGCACAATGCCATGGTGGAATGCGAATTTGGACAGAAAGAGCCTCGTGTATTACGAAAAGAAATCACGTACCCTTCTTATACTTCCTGACCAGTAACACAGAGATAAAACTGGCGACGATGATGACGATGACGACGATGATGCTGGCAACTGCAGCGGTGAGGGGTAAAATACTTCCATCTGAAACGCAGTTCACACTGTCAACTACATTTGAATGTTTGTATCAGTCATTGTTGCCATGACATTCAGTTTTCTGCATCAAGGGTACAGCTGGAGTATGAAATGCACAATGCCATTTTAGAAAGTGATGCAACATGTAAATTTGGGATTACACTTTCCCACTTAAATTTAGGACTTTTAGTGGGTGGGGGTGGGGGTGTTTGAGTCCCATCTGGTTGAGTCCCATCCCCTCAGAGTCAGGCACCTAATTGCCAGCACACAAAGTCAGACGCTTATACTGACTGAGTGGCTGTGGCTGAGCGATCTAGGCGTCTGACATTGTGTGCTGGCGATTAGGTGCCTGACTCTGAGGGTGTGGGTTCAAATCCCAGGTGGGACTCAAACACACACACACACACACACACACACACACACACACACACACACACCAAAAAAAATGCTATCTGTACTTTACTGAGAAGGTATAATCCCAAATATGTGTTACAGCTGCGTACTTCTGAATCTGTGTTTGAACACGTTCCAGTTAAAATCTGTTTCTCCGTATGATATTCGTAACATATACTTCAAAGTTAACCAAATGTATTATGAAATGATGGTACTGTCAATAAGCAATGAATGACGTCATTGACCTTCCAGAAATATGAAGCTTGGAGTTGTTAGTGAAATATAGAATGAATCTACCGTCTTCAGCTATGACTCTGTCCAATATAGACGTAAACATTTACTGTTGACCTGGTCCTCGGATATTTAACTCTGAGGAGATATTTATCTCTTGAATACACCCGTTATAAAAATAATTCCCCCAACAGTCTGGGTGACCCGTGAAGATCCGAGCTCTTCAACAATTGCTTGTCGTAAGAGGCTGCCACATGTCATCGGCTGCTGAGATCGATGCCCATTCCGTTGATAACTGGATTGTCTGATCCAGACTCGATTATTTACAGACCGCCGTCATAGAGGAATATTGTTCAGTGCGGCGTTGGTAAAATGTTGCCAACGATTTTTTACGTTGAATCAGTTGCTGAAACATCAAACCTGGAGAAGCATACATCTCTTTTCAAAGACAGAAGAAGGGTGGGTGATACAACGTTACATCGGCAATATTTCTCTCATGCGTGAAGATATTTCGGAAAGTTTTAAACTGTAGACTATGCGTTAAAGGTCGTAAGTCGTTGCGTTATCTTACAAAGAAAAATATCACCATAATGATCGTGGGTGGTATGTTTGATAATAGATAAAAAGATAAAATACCTACAACGAGGAGTTAAGTCACAAATCACAATCCTTTTATCACATGATATCGTCATGAGCAAATGTAATGGCATACCTTCAGAGGTTCTAATAGTGGTTACTATCCCCTGCAGACAGACAATCACTGATTTTGATGTTATGAAATTACAGAATAAATTTTATGAATTCACTAAGTTATATGTTATGAAATCACTGAGTTATATGTATGAAATCACTGAGTTAATGCAAGGAAATCATTGAGTTAAATGTTATGAAATCACTGTTCTATGTTATAAAATCGATGTATTAACTGTTATGAAATCACTGTGTTACATGTTATGAAATCCCTGCGTTACATGTTATGAAATCAATGTGTTATATATATTATGAAATTACAGACTTAGTGTAATGAAAGCAATGTGTTATACATTATGACATCACTGAGTTTAATGTCTCAGTCTAATCTTCATAACACTCTTATACACGGAAGGTTTATTTACCCCGTATATATTCCACCACGTCAAGCGTGACGTTATTACTGAACAGGTCTCCAGTTTGACATCTCCACACAGAGCCCTGGTCGAGTGTAGAGTTGATCCTGAGACTGACGTTGTGTTGTTTGAGGGTGGAGTTGACAGTGACACGTCCTGCAACAGACTGGTACTGGGGGGGGAGGTGGTATCGTACACCAACATGGACGTTTGTAGAATGGTCTTGAATATGTTCACTGAGTTTCTGGACCAGACAGTTTCCTTGATGTCTTTTGTACTTTCGCAAGTCAGTGTTAGGATCTGTCCACCTTTGACTGGATTTCGTGTTGCTTTCACTGAGGTAGAAGCTGAAAATGGACTATTATTTACAAATGATATACTGCTGCACACACATATATTCCAAGATATAACACTGTTATCTTTTGCTAGTTTGCAAGATCTTCTTCAGTCATGTTTTTGTACACCCCCACTCTACTACTTTAGGAGGATCCATGGTATACTGAAGTCTCAGTTTTGTTGTAATTGTAGTGCTTAATAAGATGCAGTCGAAGTTCGTAACATTGTGCCTTAACAATAACTAGTTGTCAGGAATGCGTTACTGTCTCATGTAAACAGTTGTATAGATTTTATTATACTTTTTAGCTTTCGGTTTCAAGTGTAATCTTCGATCTGCCAGAACAGCTATTGGCCGACTCGGCACAGAGTGGACATTCCTGGACAACTCGGGATCTATTGTTTACCGTCGTTGTGAACACTTTACCAACAAAAGTATTGATTTGAAAAGCTGGATAAGTTTAGAATACTAATGATTCATCGTCTAACATTTTATTAATTTTTGTTTGAATTAGTTTGCAAACAGATTTCTGGATTGACTTATTGTTTCCGTTTTGACTTATTGTTTCCACAGGAAAGTCCACTGTGATATTTTCCAAGTGAACTGGCTTGAATTAAATCTTGGTGCCAATAGTGATGTTATTGCTGGAAGTGTCGGCCCACGCCACATCTCCAAACAGATTATTCATGATTTTAACAAAGAATAGAGAGTAGTTGTTGAGTGATAGATATGCTTGTTTCAAATCACAATGAATCAACATATGGTCAAATTGCGAAGATTCAACTCACAAAAGTCATGATAAGATATATCCTAAGTATAAGTGACTGTACAATAGTAAGTGTACTTCGGCTGGTAGATTTCGAATTTGGGACATTTTGCAGTTTGGACTTTGGACTGTAGACTGCTGCTATTTCTTCCACTACCACCGCTGCGACGTGGAATAGTATTACTACTGCTATTAGTACAACCAATGCTACGGCTACGACTATGACTACCTCAACAAAGACTACGACTACTGCCACTACTCAAAGCAACAACGTATTACATACGATCATGAGGATGTGTATGATGTATGATACGTTAGGAATGGTGCAGGTTAAGTGAATTTTTCACCTGAAAATCATTGGAAGTCAAAATAGGAATTACATTGGAAAGATTTTGGAGTCATCGAGTCTGGAAAAATGTTCCACCTGTCTATCATAAAGCATCTTGTAAGCTTTCCTGAAGCAGTGAATACGATTATCCCATCATCTTTGAGTAAGAGTAGTATGAAGCTCTGACTAAAGATGAAATTAAGCATGTTCTAAGGTATCTCAAAAGTTGTGAAAGTAGATGACAAATGTTTACGTGCTGGAATATATCCGAAATAAGGAGAATTTGTCTGTTGGAGGGTTGTCAACCACACTCTTTCAAGACTTTCTATCCTTAAGTGGAGTCACATGATTCATACTATTGGATACTATGTTCCTCGTCCAGAATCCTTTACGATCCCTTATACAGGTGAAATATTGCTGAGTACGGCCTTACGACAAAACGAGTTACATAAGTCGGGAAATGAATCAACAAGAATGTGGGTATTGTATGTATTTGAAGCTGCCATTTCTAAAAGATGCATCACGTATTATTTCGCTTGTACCTTCAGTGTTGTCTGTAATCTCCACAGTGACGTTATTGCTGAAACGATTCCCATTCTGGCGCTTCCACACAGAGCCCTGGTCGAGTGTAGAGTTGATCCTGAGTGTCACGTTGTGTTGTTGGAGGGAGGAGCTGACAGTGACACGTCCTGCCACAGCGCGGGACTCATTGGAGCTGGTGGTGGGGTTGAATATGGAAGTAGATACGTCGGCATCACTGCTTGTGCTGAACATTTCAACATTGTTTCTGTACCAGTTGACACTTATCAACCCACCGCTATTTGTGGTTGTACAAGACAGTGTGACCTCGGCTCCATCCACGGCAGATTGCGGGTAGATCGTCAGATGTATAGTGGCAGGCGCTGGAACATGTATCATTGCATCATAAAATGTTATGTACTTCTACATTGATCATTCGGAACTCAATATAGTTCACTCGTATGCTAGCCACTGACCTGACGTCCCAAAACTCGCACACAAAAGCACCACAGCCAACCACATCATGACAACCGGTGACAAACGGCGAACAGATGGTATCTGTGAAAATACAATATAGGAACATAATCATGTGAGGAACATCATCGATGAAAACGGGCATTAACATCTTACACAAGTTGACATCACTATATATGTTGAAGAAAAAATGTATGAGTGATATTGTGGTTACATTTATTTTATTCGCAGGAGAAGATACGGAAGTGACAGAACGTAGAGCAGATCAGCAATATCGCCGTGTAAAAGAAGGACACACAGGACAATTTTTGTGTTGTGGCCCTTGTGTTGTTTTGTGTAGTTAACGTACCGTGTTATGAAATAATCCACCTATATTTCCAGTTCTCCAGCCAAGCCCAACAGACACAACCTTCACGGAGACGACATAACAGCAAACCCGGAAGTGATACACAGCGACAAGGTGGGTAGTGACATGAAACGTTGAGTTGAATGTACTGTTTACAAACCTTTACAAAACTGAACGTGGTTGTTGATGGAAATAGGTCAGGGTGAAAGCTTTAATGAAATGTGGCTTTACAAATGTGTATAGGCGTTTAATGGAATCATCCAGGAAGCGAATGTTCCTTGGTGTGTCGGGATCAGTGTCACTGGTGCTTTGTGTTTGGTCATCGTTACGACGAATAGATGTGTGTAGATTCGGACAAAAGAAAAAGCTTTGATTGTATGAATTTGGACAAAAGAAAATTCTTTGAATGTGTCTGACGTTGATTCTGCCAGCTTAGCAGCAAGTGATCAACATTTTTTTTGTCATTATTATTAGTACATGTTTATCAAATATTGTGTTCTTTTCATCCGTTGCCAATCTGATGGAAAATCCGATGATAAACACTGTAAACACTGCCCATTCCTGGAACATTTCGCGATATGTTTTGAGAATGTTTTATCAAATATACTAAAATTATGCTAAACTTCAGAGGACTATTTAACTATTCCAAAAAATCTATGTCCAGTAGAAACTTTGTGAATATACTAATGCCATCATGTAAGTTGTTAAAGTTTACACGGTGGCATGGTTGGTGAGTTGGCTAAGGTGCCAGGCTAGTGATCCAGCGAGCTTGAGGTGTCGGGATCGAACCCACCTGTGACCGTGTGTAAAAACTTTGCAGTCAACTTTGTGTGCAGACTCTTTCAGTGTTGTCACAATCCATAGTGTACAGTACACAACCCTGTGCACTCAAAAGAACCCACGAACCCGTTGGTATATGACCAGATCGTAAGCCCACAAGGGATACGTGCAAACACCTAGTTGCGGGTACAGCAGCGTGCAGTAAACTTGGATAAAGTACTGTGACTACGTGTCCGAGTCCACCCAGCTGTGAATGAGTACCTCGTAAGGATTAGAAAGCTGCAATAACTTGGTGCGCCTAGTGGCTGCAAGAGTTGTATGATCCATGATGTGTTGAGGTTGATGATACGATGTGCCGTAGTGATTGACATCCAATGATCAAGGAATAAATACCAGCGCCTTTAGCATGTTGCGTGGATATGTAAAGGATATATAAACATCCTATAATTAGTTTCAATATTAGCTTAGTTATTAGTTTCAGTATTAATATTAGCACTTGGTTATAATGAGTGAGTGAAGTTAGTTGTAAGCAATATTCCAGCCGGTCTATAAAAAAATCAAGTCTGGTCCAGACAATGCAGTGATCAGCAGCATGAGCATCGATCTTCACAATCGGGATACGTTGACATGTTGGTCAACCAAGCCAGGGAGCCTGACCACCCGATCCCGTTAGTTACCTCTTACGAAAAAAATGGGTTACTGAAGATTCATTCTAACCCGGACCTTCACGGGTAGCACTTGATAATAGTGTATTAGTATAAGTTACAAGTATTAGTATTAATATCACTATTTGATGCTTCACCTTAAAAAATTTAATTTGGCTATGCTTGGGTCAGTCACTACCCTGTCACTTCCTTTGTTTCACCCAGGACCAATGTTCTGGTTGAGTGGCTGACCCTTTTGTTCTTCTTTGCTTGCATGCATTTTAACCATCACTTGAACCTCATTCACCACAGAGAGTCACTCACAGAATGCAGCACTCACAGAATGCATACAAGTATTTACTCGATCATCGAAAAAACTGAATCACAACCGAAGCCGTTGTGTCACATTTTTTTAACTGTGCACATAAAGCTGCTATAATACCAAGCTATGGCCGCAGGCGAGTCGCCTGCTTGCAGTCGGCACCCGTGAAGGTCCGGGTTAGAATGAGCCTTCAGTAAACCATGCTTGTCGTAAGAGGCGACTAACGGGATCGGGTGGTCAGGCTCGCTGACTTGCTTGACACATGTCATCGGTTCCCAATTGCCCAGATCGATGCTCATGCTGTTGATCACTGGATTGTCTGGTCCAGACTCGATTATTTACAGACCGCCCCCATATAGCTGGAATATAGCTAAGTGTGGCGTAAAACTAAACTCACTCGCACTCGCCTGCAGTCAGCCGATGGTGTTGTTACGTTGAGCTTCTCTCAGTTGTGGCATGTTCTCAGTTTTCACTTGTACAGATATGATGAGAAATTAAAACCCCATCATTTTCATAGCCCAAGAATTGATGTTGCTCATTGTCATGCTGGTATGTTTGGTCACAGAGAAAATGTATAAAGCATATACACGTGCTAACAGAGAAAATGTCTAATACATGAGTTTCGCAGATGACATATCAAATATACTGACGAACCCAAAGATAACGAATCGAATATATTGACGAACTCACAAATATCATATCAAATATATTGAAGAGCTGACATATAACGTTGAAATATGTTGGTGAACTCACAGATAACGTATTAAATATATTGCCGAGACCCGATATATCATATCAAATGTATTGAAGAGCTCACAGATAACGTTTATTATATTTTATTTATTTACACTGTGCTTTCTGACAACAACTTCCCTTTACACATTTTACTTGTCGATGTCATATGCGGACGTATGTGTAATACCTCGGTATTTCAAGCAAAGGCGACCGGCTTTACACCAAATCGTGTATGCTGAAACATATGTGAGTTATTCAAAATCTTCAGAAATTCAGAAATAATCCATATCCTTTACCATGGACACAAAGAACACATGTTTCATGGATATGACACAGATTTTTATGCTATGATATTATAAGCCAATGTTCAAGCATCATACAAATAATGTTCGAAAGTTGATAGAATTTTATCACATTCGAAGCCTAAGTAAAACTTTATGAAAATATCTAAGCAGACGTTTTGCACCGTAACAATAACTTGATCGCGGCTACAAAATTCACGGCTTCTGTAATGCTTATGAAATAGTATTAATAGCTGATTTTTCCGAAACATATTTGGATCAGGATGTTTGATCAATGGTGTAAGATGTAAGTTTTCGATAGAAAACTTTTCAAAAGATTTTAAAGTTGTTAGTTATTTCCCTTCACTAATTTCACTGCCCTATTGTGAGTTGGCAGGTATTTTTTGTAAACTATTGACCGGACTGAGCTACAATTTCCAACAAAGAAATCTATAAAAAAGACACGAAAAAATATAATATGTAAAATTTTGCAAAAAAAAGTAATTAAACATTAATTAAAATGGTTGATGTGACCTTTCAAGGAACAACGTGAAATAATTTCGATAGTAAAACTTTCAAAAGATTATATAATTGTTCGGGAGGACATTTCCCTTCACTGTCCTATTGTGAGTTGGCAATTCGCAAGTATTTCTTTTGTGAAAACTATGGACCGGACTGAGCTACAATTTCCAACAAAGAAATGTATTTAAAATCACGCAAAAATATAATATGTAACGTTTTGAAAAAAAAAGTTCTAAAAATATCTATGGTAAAACTTTCAAAAGATTTTATGGTAGTTCGGGAGGGCATTTCCAAAATAGAAGACATTAATGCTCTATTGAGAGTGACCAAGTACTCTTTAGTGAACTATGGACTGGACTGAGCTACAATTTCCTACAAAGAAATGTATTCTAAAAACCCACACACAAAAATATATATAATTTGAAATAGTTTGTTATTATAGTAGCAATGGCACGTTAACATATAATTATGCAAATAAAGGGTTATTATGATAATAGTTTTCTGAATAATTTATCCTCAATGTTTTTGATTTTACCTTTTGTCTTCCAGTTTCCATCTTGGAGGGAAGGTCTGCAGAAATGGTTTAATTGGTGATGAATTAACCCTTCACGAATGGCTGATGTGACACTACATGGAACAAGGTGAAATCAAGCGAAAAGCTTTTTAAAATAGCTACATATTCTCCGGAAAGTTTTTGGTAGGTTCGACTAGGCAGCGTTTCCTAGGAGAAGTCTCATTCGCTGTCTGGGCTGCGTGTAGAGGGGGCAAGGGTCCTGAGCTGACGATGAGCCTTACCAGCCTGACTGTGCCAGGATCACCCGATCCCTCTCTGCTTCATTTTCATCTTAATCGGTAACACTTAATACTTTATTACGTAGAAAGGAATTCATTTTGCATTAGTACAGCGCTATTGTACAAAAGAAATAAGGAAAAGCAACACCACAAGTAATACATGACACAAGCGCACTCGATGCATACATTATAAGTTGTTTACTGGTCTCGATGAGGGCATAGGTTTATGTACCCTCGATGTTTGTCTATGTTCCCTGAGCTCGAAGGGCGAGGGGAACATAACAAACATCGAGGGAACATCAACCCATGGGCCCCGAGGGACCAGTGAACAACGTATTTATCTTACCGAACACCTCAATATTAATTTTGAATTGTTTGAAGCACGGGTACAAATCTTTTTGTAGCCATCGCTAGATTTTGCTGACAAGAAAACAGATTTAGAGTTATCTCCCTTCCATCGATTTGCATTCGCAAAACATCGGTAATTTCCGTACATCATATACGTGATTCAATGTAATTCGAGATAAAGAATTACTACCACGAATTAACAAATGAGTTACCATTGACAGCGGGGTACATTGAAATGTTACTAGCTTGTCAGCGGGGTACATTGAAAATAATATAAGAGCGCTCAGCCAATCAGAAAGCGATATTTATGTGCGAGGTAAGATAAGTATGTTTAATGATCATTTAAAAGACGAAGGCCGAAAGGAATCAATGTATTTTGACCTCTATTGGTTTTAAAACGATGTAATAAATATCTCCTTCCAGAAGGAAGCCTGCCAAATTCACTGTGTAACACATGATCTGGATCAGACAAAATCTTCATAGATAATTTCAAAACTCTTTTTTCATAAGATACGACAGATTGTTAAAGGTAACTACTATTTTACCCGCAATTAAAACAACGTTTTCTGAACGAGATTTGTTAACCAGAGACCGATAGCGGTTAAAAAAAAATTTAAACGCTTTCAACGAAACAATGATAAAAAAGGGATCATACACGTTCATTAACGTTAAAAAATCC